GAGTAGTTCTCACGTAGGCCAACACAGGCGACCATCAAGTAAGTGACATCTTTTCCTATAAATGTCATCAGGTCCCAAAGCACTGGGCCTGGGGACATTGTGCCTGCCCCTCTACAGCTCAGCACAGCTCGTCACCACACTCCCAGATGACATGGGTGTGCAAAGTTCTCTCGAGTTCCAGTCCTGCCACTGAGCGTAAGGTAGCCTATCCTAATTACTTACAGAGCTACCATTTCTAGAGCGGCCTTACTGTTTTTAAAAACATCACCTACAAATAATAAAACCTGTCTAGTCCTAAAAGCAAGACAGTCTTCTCCCTGAATTCCTTGGACACCTTTGTAAATACTTATCACCCACCCTTCCCCAGACAGGGTTTCCTGTGTAGCCTGGGCTGGCCTGGAACTCATAAGAGTGGTGGGATTAAAGGCGTGGGCCACTTTTAGTCTCCCTGTGTAGCTTAGGGGGGACCCGAACTTATCGTCTTCCTGCCTCCACCTCCCAAGTGCTGGGAATACAGGTCTGCCTCTGCTTTTGGCTTCAACCTAGATTTTTTTTTTTTTTTTTTTTTTTTTTTTGGTTTTTCGAGACAGGGTTTCTCTGTGTAGCTTTGCGCCTTTCCTGGAACTCACTTGGTAGTCCAGGCTGGCCTCGAACTCACAGAGATCCGCCTGCCTCTGCCTCCCGAGTGCTGGGATTAAAGGCGTGCGCCACCACCGCCCGGCTCAACCTAGATATTTTTAATCCTCTGGTAGATATAGACATTGGAAGATGAATAGCTATCCCTGGCACCTAAGAATTTCAGATCACTGGACACAGGAGCCCGTTCTTATTAACGAGATTTTCCCCCCCTCTGGTTTTGCTCGTCTTGTTTTGCTTCACGTGCAATTAGGGAACGTGGCTAATAAGTCAGATCATCTTCATTGCGAGGTCCTGTTGGACTCCAGAAGGCTTTAAGGACATGTGCAAGAGGGGGCGGGGATGTGTAAGATGTCGGGAACACGGTGCCGACCATTTCCCTCGAACGTCTGCCTTTTAATGTGGTCCTGCCAGCGGTTCAGCGAAAGAATGTTTCCTCACTGTCATCTATTAGCCATGACAGGCAGCCACAGCGGCTCTCAGATACGGCCTCCCTTCGCCACAATTATCCAGCCATGCCTGCGAGGCAAAAAGAGTGCTCGGGACACCCTCCTTCTGGACCGCTCTTCCCAAAGGCAACAGTTCAAAGCACCCCTCTATTAGCCAGAGCCCTGACATCTGCAGAATCCTCTGGACAGGACAATTACACTCCTCTTGGAGTGATGGCGGAAACGAAGACCTAATTACCTGCAATCCAGTCATCGGGAATCCAGGCTCAGCAAGAGGGCAGAGGTGGAGGCCTGGGCGCCGACATCCACGGCACTAGCACCCCGCAAACAACTCAGCCACCACCTGCATACCTCTCCTCCAAGAGAAAAAGGAAGACGTGGGTTTTCACTACCATTCAAGCGGAGACAAAACAACAGCATCAAAATTAAGAAAACGTACTAGTGACTTACGAGCCCCTAGACCGATCTGCAAACGGCACACGAAAATTACTGCCTGAGAACAGGGCTTACAACTCGCAGCAACAGAAAATGAGACCGTGTTTTCTGTCTTTATCTCTTTTCTGATTTCTTCTACTTTCCTTTTGTCGCACACATTTTGGAGCAAACCAGGAGCAAGGAGACGAGAAATAAAGCGAGAAGAAAAATGAAAGAGGGTCATGGAGAAAGAGGAGAGTGGATGGGCTTGGAGCCTGAGGTCAAGCTGTTGAACTGGAGATCACCTCCAGTACACACAAAAAGCTGGACATGACAGCATCCATGTGAAGCTCCTGGGTTTGCAGAACAGCAGCAAAGACAAGAGAAACACCTGCCTCAGAACAAGGTGGAAGGAGAGAACTGATGGCCAAAAAGTTCTCTTCTGCCTCTACAGGGGCACTGTGGCACGGTACACACTGCCAGCCGCCACCACCCCCCGCCCCCCACATACACAATTTTAAAAGACTACAATGTATTAAAAAGAAAAAAGCACCCCTCCCCTCCCCTGGAAAGAACATGGAGTCAATACTTCCGATACACTCTGAGCACAAACCTGTGTAAACGTGCTTTGCAGACAATACAGAAACAATACAAGCAGAGAGCCGAGCATATATAAGAATACAAAAATGATCATGTTTTGGCGCTGGTAGATTTTAATATAACTTTAATAATATTGGTAAAGAGCTTAATGACAAAATGCCCCAGAATACAGAGTTAAAAAAAAACGAACTCAGAGACGAAATAAAAACTCATGAAAAAATAAGAGCACCCTAAAAGGTAATCATCTTTAAGATAAAGAAACCATTTTATCAAAGGCACTGAGCATGTTTAACAGAAGTTAAATGAAATTAAAAACAAAGCTCACAGCGGAGCACCCCCTTCCCCCCAGGCACATTGATCACGGAGCTGAGGCTGCCTGTGTGGCTGAAGGCACAAATGAGGGACAGTCACCAGTGGGTCTGGAAGAGATCACCTCCAGTACACAGACTTTCCCACAGTTCTCTTACGGGACAGGAATGAATGCACTCTCTGGTTGTAGGGCGCCCTTGGAAACGAACCATGTTGGCACACAGAGCATGAGTGACATGTTTCCACACAGCGGGGGGGAAATGGGACTGGGGAGGGGGGGATGCCCCATGCCACCCATCCATAAACTCCAGCTGTCACCACACAGTGCCTGGTCTAGGGGGAGGGATAAGCTGCCTCCTCTAGGAACCACTTATCACTCGGATAAATTTAACAGTGCTATGTGACCAACAAACCAAGGATAAGAGGCTGGAACCACAGGGGTCGCCACCCTCCAGAGGGATAGCGTGCCAGGGCTGTGTGTGAGGCAGGGAGGCATGACCTGAGAGGGTATTCCTGGTTCAGCTGTGCTGATCTTCTGGGGGGACACATGTCACCCTCGACCCTCTCTGGGTAGGTTGGTGCCAGTTCCCCTCAATTCTGCAGCAACGGCTCTCCTGCCTCCATCCCACGTGGTCCTGGCGTGACAGGGTATGCTTCATTGGGGCCAGATGTTCACATCACTGTGAGTCTGCTAAGAACACACAGCAATTATGTGTGTGTCCTAGCAAAGGAGCCGCTGTTGGAATTCGGTGGGTGACAGAGAGCCCGACACTGTCCTAAACCTCACCCCAGCCAGACAGTCGGCGAAGGCGGAAAGTCCTTCACTCCAGCCCCGTGGGCAGGCAGGCCTTTGGGTTCCAAATCAAACTAAATCAACAGCTTAAACAGATGTAGATCCGTGGGACGGTGGGGACGGGAAAGAAGATTCAAGGTCTACGTGTGCTGCGCTGGCTATTAAAAAGTTATGTGCGACTTCAAGATGAAAGGCACCAGGGGCTTCTGAGAGGAGAGGAGCCCTCTTCTTCCGGGACTTAACGAGACGGAACTCACTGAAGCTTCTGACTCGGCTGGATATTAATTGAGTCAAAGTCAATGACAATCTTGCTGTACTTGGGGGTGAATTTTCTAAACATGAAAAACAAAATATATACAGGAATTATCCAACGAGTAGTTAAAGTGATTTGTTTATTTCAGCTTAAACTGTATTTCCAGGGCAGAGAAAAGAAATATCCTGGGATTCGCTTGATATCTTATCTCTATAGGAGCCAATTATAGTGCCCCATACGGAGAGGAACACAGAGCAGAAGAGGCTAAGACAAGATCGATGCATGGGGTGGCTCGGCTTGTGTGTTCTTCAACTATCCGAGTTCATGAATTATCCGGGAGTCAAAGGATTTCTAACAAGTTAGCAGCACCCCATGATATCCGATTACAGCTTCCCCATCATATTTATCTTATTTTCTAGGAAATCGCTGCAGCCAACTTTTGAGTTTCTCTAAAAGCAAACAGAGTCCACTTTCTTTTGCATCTGAGCTACAGAAAGACAACCCGCGGAAGTGGGGGGGGGGTGTTCTAAATTCAAGCTCTCCGAACGCAGATACGGCTACCCTACCTGAAGATACTTGGGGACTTTTTCAAACAAGTAAATAAGAGAGCATGTAAGCAGCGTTCCTCCATGGTCTCTGCTTCAATCCCTGCCTCCAGGTTTCGGCTTTACTTCCTGCCCTGGCTTTCAGGATGCTAGACTGTAACCCGTGAGCCAAACCGAGCCTTGACTCAAAAAGTTAGTTTCAGTCAGTGGTTTATTAAAGCAACAGAACACAAACCAGGAGCACACAAGGCACAATAATTCAAGACACGCATCATGCAAAAATCGTATTTCCAACTGGGCATGGTGGGGTGGTGTCGCTCGGGAGACTGAGGCAGGAGGCAGCCCGGGTTCCCCAGCAAACTCAGGGGCAGCCTATTCGTACAGAGACCCTGTCTCAGAAAACAAAGAAACTACCCCACATCTCTAACTAAGACGACAACCCACGGGGCAAGCCGCCCGTCCTACAAGCCTTCTCACCGCCGGCCGGAAACACAAGTTAACACTTTGCAAAGCTCCTCGGTCTGAAAACAGTTTTCTGCTGCTCATAAAAGGTGGCAAAAAAATGAACAAGTCAAACATGTTCTTCACTCTGCGAAGATAATCACAGACATCGCAAGGGCTTCCTCTCTTTAATTCAAAACGTTGCTCAGGAAAGAATTCCTGGTGTCTCACCCTGGCGGCCCGCTTTCATCCTAAACTATCTCCACCAGAGCCCTTTACATATGCAAGATTTATAAAGGCTTGGCAGGGCCAAGCACAAAAGTTGTAAATTTTTAAATTTCTTGCTACTTGCATAATTAGCCTCAGCCTTAGAAAGTCACTAATATTAAGATATAATCATTAAACAGGCTGTCTCCAGATATTTTTGTCGTTACTCCATACCTAAAATAATCTTTAGGGGCATAACGCTGTCACATTCCAAAGACACTGCCACCACGTGTGGGGGCACCAGACCTCAGGCCAGGCCACGTGCATTGCTCTACTCCAGTTCCCCGACCTACCTGAACGTAACCCCAGCCAGTTTAAACAGGAGTCTGGCGGCCGTTGTCTCCTCACTGTCGTGGTATTTATCCGACATGAAAATGACTTCTTTTATACCTGAAAAGGTAAGACTGGAAGATAAGCACGGACACAAAATTCAAAAGACAGGCAGAAAGAAGAAAGAGAACCCTGCACCTATGATTAATTACCTTTCTCAGAGTGGGCTTGCAGACAATGTCCAGTTACTGAACTATTCATCTACGGCTTCCCAGGACAGCAGAGGGGGCTGTATTTAAATCTGCCTTCCAGTCTTTATGGATTTTTTTTTTTAATATACAAATGAAAAGTGAAAACACGTCAAGCCATCAAGCCTTGATCTAATTAACAAATTTTCTTTACGGGCAGGTAAGCAACCATTCTTTATTCACAAAGCAACTACTCAAGAGGAGTGGAGGGAGGGGGCTGGCCAGTCCAGAGGTCAGCAGCATGAGGCATCCAAGAACAGCTCAGCTATCAGTGCGGAGGGCAGATCCGCCTCATGATCTCCCTAGCCAGCATGAAGCTCAGCCAGGATTCCTAAGCGCCTTCTACTCAGGGCTGCTCTGTACCCCCTTCGGAAGGGACAAGCCCACACACTGCTCTGGGCATGTACCTACTGCCAACCCCTTCGCCTGTGACCAGCTAAGGAAACACCCCCAAAAGATAGGTTCACGGCAGCAGTTTCATGGGCACCCATGGCTGTGGTCAGCTATCAGCCGACTTCTGCTCTGAAACCCGGGGGGCTGGTGATAAATAGTCCCTTCAGCCCACACATCTGGCTAAACGTGCTTAGTCTTTACATCTCAAACTGAGAGCTTTATGGAGATGAAGCACAGCTCACTCTTTGGTGTGACAGTTCAAATACAGGTACAATATGCAGAACACAACTTGGTAGTTTTACGGCAGCTGTGACATAATAAAAGTGAAGCTCGGAGTAACATTTGAGTCTCATGGTATTTATGTGCAAAGATATGCTTAGATCCTCAAATATCTACCACGTATTAGATACAAATTAAAATTTGATATACAGACTCCCAGCTGACCTTGTTTCTGACAGAAGTTCATTTCCCTCCCTACCCTCCCCACCTAATCTATGCACAATATGTCAGAGAACGGTAAATTGACAGTAATTATATGCAATGCCTGTGTTCTTTTTTGGCAGCTTGCAGTTTAAGAAGTTGCAAACTAAATTAAAAACATGCTAAGAATCACAGAGGATGCAATTAGTCTTAGAATACCTGGCACCACTCAAAAACAAAACACGGGGAATATCCCGCAAAGTTGATAGCGCAATTAATTTAGATCTAAACAATAACAACTTCAGATCAAACACACCTGCGCAGAGCTGCTGACGAGCAGACCCCCATGCAAATGGGACAAATGGGAAGGCCTGGTTCCTACCTGCCTGGATGATCAGCTTAGCACACTCATTACACGGGAACAAGGCGACGTACATACTGCAGCCCTTCACATCAGCCGAATTCTTGTTCATGATGGCGTTCAGCTCGGCATGGCACACTGCAGAAGAGAAAGAACAGGGCCTAGGCTGCAGCTCATGGAAGGTTTACTAAGTAACTCTGTCTCCACCTCCGAAATAGCACAGAATACTCAATAAAAATAAATTGATTAGAAACAGCAACCCCGAGATTACCAATAAAGGCCACGCGGTCTGTCTGGGTGGTGATTACCAGGGAGAGGAGGCTGTCGAAGCAGCTGGCCTTGGTGCATAAGTACCTAGAGCACCAGGAGGGACTGAGGTTAAGTACCTTCACCCACCCTAAGCGGAGCAATACCTCACTGCTCCACAAGACCCTGGGGTATTGAAATGCCCACATAAAATGGCTCATTTGTGTGTTGATCTGCACACACAGGGATAGTCAGCATGGCTGTTAAGAGGGCAGGGGGCATAAGGACACAAGAATAAAAAGTGAGGCTGAGAATTTCTATCCTGAGGGGTCTGCTTCCGCTCATCATGCTCAGCCCTGAGCCCTGAGGGGGGAAAGAAAAGGAAAGAAAATGAAAGCCCGTGGATAACCAGCTATTTATCTGTTTTACAAACATACACATCCACTTAAGGGCAAGGAACAGTCAAGTTCTCTACATACAGATCCACCTCACCAATGACTCCCAAGGATCATGCGAGCATCCTTGACTGAGTTAAAGGACAAAAGAAGCACCCTCCTTTCTCTCCCTCGCTACCGAAGCCGATATTCCCTGTCCTGTTAGGGTGGCTGTTACTACTCCCTAGCCACAGGGCTGAAATGAAGAAAAACTCCAGCACAGAAATCACTCTGAATCCCTCCGCCTGCCCAGCAGGCTTCTCACCTGAAGGTTTTGGGTGTGTTATCTACAACTACCTTGCATACTCCTTATGACAATTACGTGAATATTTATCCCCAGAGGAACTTCCAAATTAGTATTTATTCCGTACTGGAGAGTACTGGTCCAGCCTTGGGAACTTTTAAAAAAATCCCCAGATGACTCAAATGTGCAAACAAATTTGGGAAGCCCTGTTCTACAGGCTGCCCTGAGATCCCAACATATATTCTGCACACAATACTAAAACAAGCACCCGCAGCGTGAATTGAGTCTCTGATTATGGTCCAAACCATACCTAATTCCTAGAAAACAAATACTGCTCCCTTCAAGGGTCTCCTCTACCCTCCATCTCCAGTCACCAGCTTCCCATATTCAACCTTCATCAATCGAGGCTGTCAGTGCACACTGGCCTAAGCTCACGACCCTGGGCATTTCAATCACTTCTTGCTCCTAGAGTCAGGCACATTTATTGAGAATCTATTCAGGGTTAGAAGGATGAAGGAGGCACATTTATTGAGAATCTATTCAGGGTTAGAAGGATGAAGAAGGCACGTTTATTGAGAATCTCTTCTGAGTTAGAAGGATGAAGGACCAGCCTCCTGGTTTTGCATGAAATAGCAACTACCTGGACAGTAGTAGCCAGGCAGTGTTTTACCAGGAAGCTAAGCGAGAGCTCTCTCAGGAAATGTTTGTGCATACCAGCATCCTCAAACTGGGAATTAATTCCATGTATTAAGAGTTCTCAGCAGGAGTGAAAAAAGGAATCGTCTCTGGCAATACAGGGAGCGAAAGAAACAATCTGTGATTCATCAAATCACAGACCACCAGAGAGCAATGGCTGGCCGGAGGGGCTTGAGTCCTGTCCCCCAAGTCTCCCTGTCCCATAAACTCCAAGGCCATGGGAAGACAGGAGAGAGCCCAGAGAGGGTTGGAGTGGCCACATGGCCAGTGGACTTCAAGAGGTATCCATGGCGCCTTCTCCCCTGGTGACCAGGACGGCAGGGTGGAATCACAGAGTTTAACACTCTGTTCAGTGTTAAAAACAATTAGATATAATTGTTTCCTCTATGCCCCCCTTGGGGGGAAATCCCAGCCCTCTAAGTTCTTCGTAGCTCTCCCCAGGGTCTAATGGCATGCCAGGAACATAATGGTGTTAAATATTTATTGAATAAATAAAGGAGGAAATGCAGATCCCAATTATTGATGGTGACGTTGGGAAACAGCAAAAGTTCTCTTCTGTTCTCCAAAAATGGGCTTTCCCCATCTAAGAAGAAGTGTTCTGGGAACGGTGCCGGAGTTCACGTTCAGAACTTCGAAGACCCCCATCTGTGACCACACAGCATTCTGGTGTCCTCATCTGGAAGAATTGTCACAGTGACTACAATCGAAACCAAGTTTATCATTCGTGAAAATCACCTGAAGAAACAGCTCGTCTTGGGTAACCCCCAACACGGCCGGAGACGGGCGGTGTGCAGAAATAAGACACAGGATTCTAAACAGGCATCCTTTATCTTATCAAAAGTCATGGGGTGAAAATGCAAAGCTGCTTATTAAGAGAAGATGAGGTCTGCTGGGTGACCTGAACGAATGTTGGAACACAGGCCGGCTCACACCCTACAAGCTTACACCTTCAAAGTCAAATGACTGAATGATAACCAAAAAGAAAACCATGCGCTCTGAGGAGAGGGGACCACAGGCCCCATTCTAACTGCTCTGGCTCAGTCCTGCACCCCTTTCAACTTCAGAAATCACAGCACACTGTTCCCCAGAACCCCTTCCCTACCAAAGGCCTATCTGACTAATACCCCAGGAGGCTGGTGCATGTCTGTAATCCCAAGAACAGCCACACGGGGGGCAAGCGGATCTCTAGAAGCCTCTGGCCAGCTAGGCTGGCCTATGTGGCCGAGGTCCAAGCCAATGAGCCTGAAGTCTGAAGCGCCTTTAGATGGATACCCAAGGTTGTCCCCGGACCTTCACACATAAGCCATAACCCACACCTGTGCGCATACACACCCACCCACCCACAAAGAGATAATAACAACAACAACAATAATAATAATAAATGGTAAAAGCCATTTTTAAAATATCAAACAAAGTCCACCGACTTTTGGCTTTTTCCTAACATTCCTCCATCCTCCAGGACAAGCTCTCACTAACAAAACAGGGGCTCCTCTCTCGGCCCAGCACGAGGCTGCAGCCCTCACCCCCGGTGCTGAGTGGTGGCTTCCCTCTACTCCGCTTCCTCCTCCCTTCAACCCACACACAGTCCTCATTCATTCAGCAGAGGTCAGGTGCTCGGCGCTTTAACTTTCTTTTCAAGAGGAAATCATTTCAACAACTGCTAGTCTAATTTTAAAAATAACTGTCTCATTGTAATGCAGCTATAACCTCTAGTTTTCTTCTCTCCATTTTTTTTGGAGGGGGGTTAGGGCATATTAATTATACAGAATAATGGGTTTCACTGTGCCCTTTTCTTTTTTTTTTTTTTTGGTTTTTTCGAGACAGGGTTTCTCTGTGTAGCTTTGCGCCTTTCCTGGATCTCGCTCTGTAGACCAGGCTGGCCTCGAACTCACAGAGATCCGCCTGCCTCTGCCTCCCGAGTGCTGGGATTAAAGGCGTGCGCCACCACCGCCTGGCTGCCCTTTTCATACATGCACAGAACATTCTTTAGTCATATCCACCCTGGATTAACCGCCCCACCCCACCCCAGCCTTGCCCTCCTCTCTCATCTCTCCCTGATCTGAGTCTTGGTTTCTAACACCCTTCCTCCCTTCTCATGCCCGCCACAACCCCCTGGGTGTCTGTCTGTCCATCTCACTGCGGTATTTTGCTATAAAGCCCTAGCTAGACTAGCACTTCCCATGTAGCCTGAGCTGGTCTTGAACTCACGACATTCCTTTCTTTAGCCTGAGTCCGGGGATTACAGGCATGCACAACCAAACCCAGCAAGTCACAAAATCAGTTAAGTGGGTTTATTAGCAGGTTTTGCTTGCTTGGTGGTATCGGGGATGCCTAAAATCTGAAGCAGAACTCACAGCATGCCTGTGTCCCAAACCAACCACGACTGGTTCTGTCTGACAGTTCTTGTGTGAGATTTTATAAGGACAAAGAATTTAGGACGCACAATGCCTAACAAGTATTCATAAGGCAGTCCATGGTGTCAAAAAAGATGAATTTTCCCATTATTAACTAGAAATCCATATCTACAGCTAAGTAAAAACTTAGGTCCCCAAATAACGCAGATATCCGATAAGCACAAAAGAGTGACAAAAGCCCTTTAATTATCCCCAACATCATATGAAAGGGACAAGTGTTGAAAATACCCGATTAATGCCCACAAAGCGTGGTAGTCAGAAGAGGGCCTGTTCCAGGTGATTATGAGACAATTCACACACTTCGGTCTTTTCTTTCTTTCTTTGTTTTCCTATTACTAACTGTCAGAATTCAGAACCGCATTAACCTTGGCCCACTGAGAAGAGACTGTATAATTAGAAAACTATATTTTTCAAATTCTCTCTCACTGGGGCCTGATTAATCCCCACTGTCTCACGTAGGCGGTTCTCGGGAAGTTTGACAAATTTACAGGATGTACTCCATCCTTGTTAGATGTAAGAGATTCAGCATTTTATAGATTTGACTTCCATCACATCTGATGTGAGACTCATACAATATCTATTTTAGACACCAGTACTATCACAGCTACTCAAGAAGAAAAGGAAAAGAGAAAAAAAAAAAAAAGGAAAGAAAACACATTTGAACGACGCTAAACAAATTCTAAGTGCTACACACATAACCTGGTGGTCACAGTGTCACCCCCAGTGACCTTAGTCTCCTGGTGACACGTGAGAAACACTGGAGCCCCATAAAATCTGGACTCAGGAAAAAATTTGTACACACACACACACACCCCTCCTGTTTCTAATCCAAGACAAGTTTCTCTTTTCTTGGACTTTACCCTGCAATTAGTAACTGACATGAAACGGGGTACCCCAATTCAAGGCTGCTGTATACACGTTATTAACAAGCTGTCCCACCTCTGTTCTGATGACCCCACTCTTTTGCCATTATTCTCCAAATTAGAATCTAAGTGAGTTTACTCCGGGGGTACCAGAGTGTCAGAGTCACTAAGTGTGGGCACATCTCTAGGAGCACGGCTATGTCCACCTCTGCCCTCACTAACGTGCAGATGCCGGGTGGAA